AGGCGTCCGACTTTCGCTTAGGTCATGATCTCGCGGTTCGTGGGTTCGAGCCCCGCGTCGGGCTCTGTGCTGACTGCCAGCTCAGAGCCTGGAGCCTGTTTCAGTCTGTGACTCCCTCTCTCTCTGACCCTACCCTGCTCACGCTGTCTCTCTCTCTCTCTCCTAGAAATAAATAAAAAAATTAAAAAAAAAATAATAATTTTCTTAAAGTAAAAACTCCATGGTCTCTTCTATGGCATAACTAGAGAGTACATACTTTGAACAGGATTTCTGTACCACCTAGATTACTGATTTAGTTCCCACATTCTGAAGAGGTAGGAAAATTATGAAGTGTTTAATATAAAAATGGAAGATGTGTACAAATATTTCTATCACAGAAATAAAGAATACTATTATTTTTTTCAGGCATTCAAACAACACATTTGCAACCCATACTCTCACAAATCTGAAAGCCATTACCATTTTTTGACAAACTCTTTGGCAGAGAATCATAATAAATGCTCAAATTTTGATATTTCATCTGGAAATATCCATTTGAATCCAAAGTCCCCTAGTCACAGGAACACAAGACAATTATACAGGATTTTGGACTGGTGTTTTTACAAACAACTTTTGCTGCATTTATTTTACCTATTTTTTAATATATCTGAGAATGAAAATTAAATAGCTATAGGGAAGTTATGTGAGCTTAGAATGTATTTTTTACTTAAAAAGTTACAATATACAGCAAGATACAAATTGGCCTGTACCTTACTAGATGTTGCAACATTTTCTGAACTCAAACATGATTGAAACAATTATTTATAATGAAAATACTACAGAAAAAAAACCCTGTAACAATAAAAGGGAAACCTTCTAAATGACATTTCAATCTCTAATAAATGTTAACATGTAGAAATTGATAGTTGCCCCTCTATATCCACCTTCCCCTTTTTACACAGTAAAGGAAATTTCTGGGCATAAAACACAGCTGATGATCACAGTTCAGATTTCCTTGTGGCGAGGTGAAGCTTTGTGACATAGTCCTGGACAATGGGATGTAAGCAAAAGTAATATATGCAACTTTAGGTCATGGCCTTAAAGAAAACGCACATGCTCTTCATTTTCTCCTTAATACAGTCCTATTGTGGAAAAGGTGAATGAAACAGTAAACCGAGAGCAGCTTCCTTGGACCACAAGATAAAAACTGTTCAAAATGGCAAGGTGGGGCATGCTCAGGAGGCTCAGTCTGTAGCGCAGTGAGTCCAGAGTCTCTGCCTCTCACCAACTCACTCATGGTCTTGCTCTCTCTCTCTCTCTCTCAAAAATAAACAAAAAATAAAAATGTCAAGGCAACGATTTTAAAAAGCCTGGGCCTCCAACATCATAAAGCCATGATATTAACCCAGGACTTCCTATTTATATTTTTAAATGAAAGAAAAACAAACCTCCATGGTACTTAAATTGTCAAATTTTCAGGCTAAACTGTATCCCAGCTTCTGACAGTGGGGGCAGGGGAGACAAAGGAAAAGGAAATAAAAAATAAACTTTACTATAATTCTAAGAGAGACCTGTAGCCAATTCTTGTGTGTTTGTTGTGTGTATGTGTGTGTGTGTGTGTGTGTGTGTGTTTGTGTATATTAAATTTAATTGTGCTTCAAACCTCATGACTTTCCTTCATTAGGGCTATTTTTAGAGCTATAAAACTGTAATATGTTAGATGACCTGTAATTAACCCAAGAAATCACTTTAAACCTTTACAGATGAGAAAACAAAGGTATGAGCAAATAATGAGCCCAAGGTTATTCTTATCAAAAATTATTAGGTCTTTTTTTGTGGCTCATAAACAATTATTTTTCTGAAGAAAAAGAACAAGTTATGAAGCCAAAAAAGGAAAACATTATTAACTAAGATGTACTGTTTGCATGACAAAGAATATACTGCAAAATCAGGAATTGCATTTGGCAAAAAAAAAACAAAAAACAATGACACAGGTAAATGAAAAAATCTCTCCTGAATGGGGGGCTACTAGTTATAATGAAGAGATGGGTTCTAAATACTTGCACTAAAGTATGTTTTCAACTAGAATAATCTACTGCCAACAGAAAAATATTGGTGATAGGGCAGGAAGGGTCCTAGAGATCTGTCCTAGAGATCTGTACTGTGTGGAAAAGATAATGTATAGCTGGTCATTCAACATTTATTCCAATGGGGATTAAGTTAAAATAAAACAGCTATGCTATCTTTAAAGAAAAACTAACTAGAGTATAAATAAAATTTTGGGTGTTATGAGCCCAAAAGCAATCTCATGAAAATTATGTATGCACACTCCCTCCAAAAAATGTATACAACATACACATTACACATTTTTAAATATTTCATTGGTTTGGATTGACAATTATTTCACTGTGATAAAACATAAGATAATATTTCCAAAAACTCAGATTTTGTTTAACACAAAACCAGTCATTACTTCCTTTAAAAAAATTTCTTTTATGGTAGTTCTGCACCCAACGTGGGGCTTGAACTCACGACACTGAGATGAAGAGTCTCACGTTCTACCAATTGAGACAGTCGGGTGCCTCTAACAAATTTTTTTTAAAACCATATTTTATATGAATTTCAAATATGTCTTAAATGACTGAATACTCAAAATGTTCAAATTATCCAGTGATCTCCAGCACAGAATTAAAAACATAAAACGTCTTGAACTGATACAACAAATGCCTAAAAACCCCAACGCTGAGGGGTATAAAACTGGTAGTAATTGTACTTAAAACTCATGGGATATACTTTGCATTGGGAGAGTAACCTTATGTCAACAAATGACCGGATTCACTACAACCCTCTGAACTGAATCTATGTTCATTCTTTTCTTGTAAGTATAAGAGGTCATTTTTGGCCACAATCAGATGTCCATCAAGCAAAGGTTTACAAATTCCTTTTAAATTTTTAGGTCATCCAAAGCACTATAGCCTTAAAAAGTATTCAGCCATGTGTCCAATTCTCTGAGTATTTTTGCCAGCAGGTGACTTTATTAGATACTGTCACTCTGAAATTCAATTTCAGAATTATATCCTAAAGCAGTGGAAGATTCCCATGGCAGTTTGGCCAAATAAACTTGCAATTTTCATCTGCATCCAGAAGGCTGACCACAGCACCGCAAAATCAAAGTTATACTTTACTCGAATATCTGAAAATGTCTCTCAAGTAACCCAAGTCATGAATAAACTTGTCAAAGTCTTCAGAGCACACCATTTCTTTTTCTCATAAGCAAATTAATAGATGAGAAATAAGGAGGCAGTTATCTAAACTACAGTGTAGTGCTCTAAGACATATCCTTTAGGGAACCCAAACACTTCTGCATTACTGGGAATCTCTTATTCCGTTTCCGTTTCTTAAGAAAACCTGTTGAAAAGGTAGTGTTTCAAGGTTTTCTCTCTCTCAGTAAAGTTGATTATGTTCAAGGTGGTAAGCAAGATACCTTTTAGGATAACTGTCACAGTTTTTAAATGCTGATTCATGCCAAGCCAATTGTAAAAGACATAAGTCATGAATCCTTGAAGTCCTTTCTTCATAAAAAGCAGCAAAATCAGATGTACTGCCAAGCATGGTAAGTACTCCATCTAAGTTGAAGCAAACCGCCCAATGTCAAAGATACCAAAAGCCTTTCAGGCCTCCAACAGGTACCTCACAATCTTGGAATTTGTTATGCATCAGTGTACATAAAACAGATAAAAACCAGAAACTAGCTACATGAAATAATGTCAGTCACTACACATTAATGCGTGTTTAATGGGAAATAGCATTACTCCCAATTTGATGATAATCTACTTCAAAGTATAAGAAATGGTCCACAGCTCTATAGTACATAATATCCTTCGATTGTGCTTCAGCCATAGGAAAGAACACTTTGTGATAAATAATGAAATTTCAGCAGTCCGTCAGACTTTATTTTACCTATTTTAGATTATCATGTTAAGGACCTCAGTATATTGAAAGGCACATAAATTGGATAAGTAGAAAAAGTGTGTATCTTCTAAACAGAAATAATTACTGAAGCCAGTCTCTCTGTGTTATTCTCTATAAGTTAACATACATTTCAAAATAATGATTCCATCTGTTGCTTTACATGTTTCTTTAATTGGTGAAATCCCTTTAATCATTCTGAATGAAACAGTCATTTTAAAGGAATTTTTTTTTAACTCAATTTAGTTACAGCACAAATTGCCAATAACTGTCTCTAAACATAATGGGCTAAAAATTCACCTCCCTTTCTTCTACTATAGACCTCATTTCAGAATGCTAAACCACTGGTAAAAGGCAAATAATTCAATCTCTAATTATCTCATAAAGTTGGGTAAAATATATAAACAGTACATTTTGATACAGGGTTGATACACAAACCACCTACTTTGATCTGAATTGGTATAGGAACTGAAGAGGACAAGTAGCAGATATTTGTCTGTAAACTATGCAAGCCTTGAAAAGCTTGGGTTGAAATTTATTCCTATTTTAGTATTTCTAAGCATGATATATAAATAAAATACCTTAATTCCTAAGGATATGTCTTACTACACCTAACTGTTTCAATCTAGAATTTCAAACACATTCTAATAAAGTTGAGATTAAGTTATCATTATTAAATATCCAATAGTAAATATATGTTCTTTCTTAAAATCAGTATTTCCCCAAACATATCACAATAAACCTTGCCTCAACAGTCCAAAGCTTCTGATCCCACCTTTCACAACTGTTCATTCATGTAATTATCTCTATAATCCTTATTTTTAAAGCATTAGCAACTAAATACATTTCTTAATAATTATTTTTCACAATTCATTAATATGAAGCATTTAAGGACTCTAATGTTGAAAGAAGCATTCTTCCAACTTGGAAACCAAGTACTTTTCAAACTTTGATTTCCCAGGTATTCTGGGAATAAGCTAGTTACTTAGATAACTCCTCAATAAATGCTCTGACATTTTACCACTTACAATATTAAGGAAAGTTTTACTTACTGAAACATCTTTCAGGTTTTTCTCAAAGGAGAAATGACAAGATTCTTTAGAAAAATCAAACTGGTACACATCAGTTGGTCCTCCTCCTGATGCCAATGCTTTCCTCAGTTCGTCAACATATTTCTCTTTTTCCATGGCCATGTCATCAGCTTCTTGAGAAATTTCTGATTCGGAAACTATGGGGGACATAAGTAAAAAGATTTGAAATAAAAAATAAAATCCTAAACATGAGAACATATTTGATTACCTGTTGCTACTAATTTATCACTTACATAACAAAAACTTAAATGAAAGACAAAACCAATCCCCATACCACACATTTTTAAGTAAAATTATACTTTTAGCTGAGCGAACAATTTTTATATGTTTTTACTACTTATTTTTGAGAGAGAGAGAGAGAGTGATCAGGGGAGGGGCAGAGAGAGAGAGGCATAGAGAATCTGAAGCAGGCTCTGTGCTGACACTGACAGCAGAAAGCCTGATGCGGGGCTCGAACTCATGAAACATGAGACCATAACCTGGGTTGAAGTCAGACGCTTTACTGACTGAGCCACCAGGTGCCCCAAACTACCAATTTTTAAGAAACATGTTAATTTAGCCTCAAGTCTCATCTGAAAAATATTAGATTCCTTGCATTTTATTCTGTCCTCAAAAGAAATACATGCATTGTAAATTACTAGAAAAAACTACCATCTTGTATACCTGCTCTTAGGTCAAAGTCAGATAAATTATTTCTTATAATGATTAATAATCTAAGTATTTTATAACATCTTCCTTGTCTCAATTATTAAAGAGATTAAATAGTTTATAGCCTATATTTCACTCACATGGGCTGACTCAAATTAAAATAAAAATGGAGTTCATTCTCATCTCATTATGTGCCAACAATAAAGAAGGTAGATGAGGCAGGTACTGAGGAAGGAAAGAGAAGTGAATTAATATTTATTGAGTGTCACCTGTGTGACATTCATTGTATTATAGATCCGGCTTCCAATTCTGTTACCTAGGTATATTGAAAGCTGATGCTCTACTCATCTATAGAATTTTTTTTTCAACAATAATATTCTCAATTCTAGATATTCTCTTTCTTTTCCGTAATATTCTGTTCTTACCACACCCTTCCTTTAAATACCTGAAGGCTTTAAACATATTTAAGATTTCTTCCAGATCAGTCTCTATGCAGAGTGTCTGGAATATTAGTTACATTTCTATTATCTGCTGACACATTCTCATTCTGGTTTTTCCCTTTCACACTTTGTAATGTTTGAACAAGGCTCTCCTCTAGCCAGAGTATCATCTGCCCTGGGAAACAGAGGTGGCCTTAAATGAAGGTTGCTAATCTACCTCTCTTGGAGTCTCTACAGGTCTTAACAGCTCTGGACCAGTTTTGAAAGTTAATTTCTTCACTTGGTTTTATCACTTGAAGAACAGAATTTCAAACTTAAATCCCCTAACCCTCATCCATACATAACAGACTCAGGGATCTGATTTTTATTTGTGGATTTTTTTAAAGTTTATTATTCATTTTGAGAGACAAAGGAGAGGGGCAGGGGAGAGAGAAAGAAAGAGAATCCTAAGCAAACACTGTGCTGCCAGTGTGGCCCCAACAGAGCTTGACCTCACAAAATCAAGAGTCGGATGTTAACTGACCACTCAGGTGCCTCTGATTTTTGTTCATACTTTTATCCATTCACAGCAATTAGTGACTAGTCTGATTCTCTGTTCCATCTTCAAACCAGAGTGTAGCTTTTTGTTTTTGTTCTGTTTTGCTTTTTTAAGATGAGTTCATTAACCGGGTAACTTTTCAGTTTGCTTTCTTTATACTGAGAACTGAGTTCCAGTTCTTTAAGAGACCAGCACTCTTAACATTCTGCCCCATTCAGGTAGTGCAGTCACAGTCATTAATTTAGACATACATCCAGTTCAGATATTCCATAGAACTATGGTTAAGCTCTAGTTCCCATTAACCGCTTTGGTTTTTGGATACCTCGAAAGCTGCAATACGTCTTTTTGCTTTTCAAACTACAAGACTTAATCTAACATTTGTTTGGAATGTGTGTGTGGTTGGGTGGTTTCCTGTGTCAATTCAGACTACTATAACGATGAAAGACTCATGTGGTCCCATCCTTTTATATTCAAAGGTTACATTTATCCATTTTATTCCTTATTAAACTTAAAGGTAGACATTTTCATTTCTCAAATGATAAAATTGAGGCTCAGAGCAAGTAATGCTCTATGGGCACAGAGTAGAAAGTTTGTCAAACTGGGGTTCATACTTATGGTCTCTCTGCTTGTTTTGTTTTGTGGTGAGGCAGATATGAGACAACAGAAAAATGATTTCTTTCCATATTAAAAACAATACATTAGTATGATATACTACGGAAAACAATGGCATCTTTACTAAAGAGTCCCCAAAAATAGACCATGGATTTTTCATTCCTTTGGTCTGAATGCTATCAAGTGTCTGGAAGCCTCATGATAGGCAATGAAGAAAAGGATTTGAATTATCTCCACATATTTTTCATTATCCTTTTTTGGTAAATTCCAACACTGAAATATGAATGTTAACACAGACTTTAAAAAGAGGTAAGAATAAAAATATTTTACATTCTTTTTTATTAAAATATTTTATATTCTTTTATTTAATGTTTTTTATTTTTGGGAGCAAGAGAGTTGCGGAAAGGCAGAGAGCGAGGGAGACAGATGATCCGAAGCAGGCTCTGGGCTGACAGTAGAGATTCCCATGTGGGACCTGAACTAATAAATCATGAGATCATGACCTGAGCCGAAGTCAGACGCTTAACCAACTGAGCCACCCAGGTGTCAATATTTTATATTCTTTATGTGATTTTACAGCTTCTAAAATACTTTCGTATATTTTGTCTATCTCTGAAACAAAGGTGTATTTAAGATGATCATCACTATCAAATCTACTGACCTTCCAAATGCCCCATTAGGGCTTCTGAAAAAAAACAAAAACATAAAAACAAGACGACAAATGCTTTCTTTTAAGGAATAATTTCATATTTTATAGTTTGGAAGAGTTATAAACACCTAGGAAGAGAAAATATTTCACAGAGGAGTAGGGACTACATCTGTAGGAAACCATCTTTAATGCCACTACAGAAAAATTTATAAGAAAACACAAAAGAAAATAAGGTCAACTGAGGAAACATCCAGTAAAAAGCATTCTAAATTTCATTCAAATGAAAAGATATCTACCTGAAAATATTTCAGAGAATTTATTGATTAGATTCACTTGTTCAAAACAATGCTTAATCAGCATCTACTATGCCAGGTACCATACTATGCATCAGGACTGCAAATTTAACAGACAGAGAAAAATGCCAGCCTTATGCAGCCGAGATTCAAGTGCTAGCTAACATCTGAGGTATTCTCTTCTATATCCTCTTATGTTATGCCATATGTGAAATGCTGTGATGGTTATTATTACAGAATATGACATTTTTGAGAGGAAAAAACATATGAAAGGAAATTTCCTATTTACACTTCCCCCTTTAAAAACTGTGGGAAAAAATTAAGAAAAAATGTACTTGAACATTTCCATTATTGGTAAATGTGAAATTCTGACTGCCTATTTAAAACTTCAATCCTGGAAAAACTTGGTCACCAGTTTTGAATTTTGTGCTAAGAACATCTGGAAGAAGCACAGCTGTAAGCATTCAATGCTCCAAAACCTTTGGTGACCAAAAATAAAAGCCATGGAAATAATAAAATTCAGCAAGGATACAGCTGAACTGCATAATAATGGTATAAAAAGAGAGCAGGCCAACATGACCAAAAACCAAGGAATTGTTCTCAGACATGCAGGATCCAAGAAAGCATCACATTAATACTATTTGTGGGTCGATGAAGATGTAAATTAGAAAATTTTTCTCTTTTGGATTCTTATGTATAAGGCACTGAAGACTGTGCATATCCTAGTTTGTGTCAGTGCTTCAAAGACCACCTTATCATCCCATTAGGGATCTTGTTTTTTAATGTTTATTTATTTATTTTGAGAAAGAAAGAAAGAGAAAGCACATGCAAGCATGGGAGGGACAGAGAGAGAGAGAGGATCCCAAGCACGCTCTGTATTATGAGTGCAGAGTCCAAAGTGGGACTCTATCTCACAAACTGAGATCCTGACCTGAGCCAAAATCAAGAGGCAGATGCTAACCACTGAGCCACCAAGGCTCCCTCTATTAAGGATCTTTGATAGTATCACATCACGAACCCATTCTACTACATTTATTAAAAATCCTTTGTCCACTGAACCCTGTCACATAATCACCATAAAGGTCACTAAATATCAATGTTTAGGCCAAATATAAGTGGATATAATTATATGATAATAAATATGTTTAAATAAAGTTTAATTTATTTTTCAATGAACTTTAAACTATTCTAGAGATGGGTAATGTTTCTTCTCACTGACTGAAATTCTTATAGAGGTCACGTAATAGTCATCAATCATTAACCTACTTTGTGACTTAGCTCTGCGATATAACCCTCTATAATGCTGAAGTGATGACAGACCACATGATAATTAGACCTCAAAACATTCATTAGATAAAACATTACTAATGGAAAAGAAATCAGTGAATTCAGTGTGTGGGAGATTAAAAGGAACCCCACATCCTTTTAATCTCACTCAAATGAAAAGAAAAAAAAATTATCCAAATTGAAGGCTGCAGCAATCAAAAAGTTGTACAAAAAAACAGGATGAGGTATAGGAAGGAAATCCATTTTCATGTTTCAATTATGTAATTGTTTCAATGTTCTTAATCATGTTATTGTCGATCTATAAAGTGGCAAACCAAATCATATTTATGTAATAAGCCTTAAGTAAACATGAAAACAATATTATTTGCCTTGATATTTTGTCCCTGAAATTTACACAAGAAAACAAAAATGAATAATGAAAGATATACATTTGTGAGATTAAAACCTTAATATCTTTGAAAATAAAATGACCATATATGGTACATTACAAAATGTTCTGTTTGAAAGCCTGTTTAGCAAGGAAGCCAAAATATTAACGATCCACCAAAGGATACAGAAGTTACATATCACATTTTTCTCACACTATTCATTAGCTTAAAAACAAATTGCAAAATATACATTTACAATCAATACCAACAATAAATAAATATACAACTGGAGTTTTCATTAAAAAATATGCTAGCTCTAAAATAAATGGTTCTCTTTCTTTTCTTTCCTAGCAAGTTTTATATATTTGATTTTATATCTTTTCATTCTCTCTTTCAAAGAATATCTATTGAGCATGTATGTCCTAGGCACTAGTTTAGATATTTCTAAAGAATGATTGATGAATCATATGCATTCCTTGCTCCTAATGAATCTACACTAGTGAAACAATACTCATAATAATAATATTAAGAGCAACTGCCAGCGCATTCTGTTTGACATGGCAAATTGTTCCATAAATGTGAATTCAGCTTAAATTTCTGGTTAAATCAAGATTTAAGAATCAGAGTACTTTTTTATTCCCAATACTTAAGGATAAAAAAAATTAAAACAACATATTATTGCTCTTTGCTTTGGTGAATGAGATTTACTAACTAGATTTGAATTCAATAGTTTCTTTCGGTAATTAAGGCTCCTAAAGCATCTTAAGGTCATGTGTCTAATCATAACTTATTATACGGAATAAGCCATTTGTAAACTGTGAATATCTATGTTATAAATACATTATTCACTATTCCTTACATACAAGCAACCACTTCACCTAGGACCTGCCTCCTGGACTGTGCAGTTGAAACTACTCTTCTCTCTAGATAACTGGCATTAACCTACTGCCATGATCTTCAACCCTATGCACCTCCTTTTCAAAACAGATTTACTGTCACCTGGGTACACTTTCACCAGCATACAAACAAATAATCTGACAAGTTCTTCTCAGTCCTAAATGGCAACAACTTATTTCTCTTATACAGAAATTAAAACGACGGCACCTGGGTGCCTCAGCCCATTAAGTATCTGACTCCTGATTTCAGCTCAAGTCATGAGCTCAGGGTCATAAGATCAAGCCCCACATCAGGCTAAATGCTAAGCTTAGGATTCTCTCTCTCTCTTCCTCTGTCCCTCTCCCCTGCTCGCTCTCTTAAAAAAAAGAAAAAAAAAAAAAAAGGAAATATTCAGCTTATATAGATACCATAACAAGTACTGCAAACATTATCCTTGAAAATTCTTTATTTTAATAATACTTACATCAGCATTCCTTGCTCTGTAAAAAAAGAAGAATTAAAAAAAACAAAACAAAAAACTCTGCAAGTATAAATTCAGTTTGACTGCACTGTGTAACAGAATTTTTACCATTCAAGAAAGAAAACTTTAGCACATAATTTTAAAAATGATATAATAATCACAATAAGTTTTACAGAAATATTTTAAAATTGATAGAAGATATAAATGGTATATAAATCAACATGACAAAATTATTTTACCTAAAACATGGCTTACAATATAACTCTAGAAATAACTGTTGTATAACTACATAAACAGTTTTTCCTATCTTTCAATACAATATTTTAATAGAGTATAAATCTTTACTATATGAGCAAAACATAATTCTATTTTCTTTTTAGACTTGTCATGTTCCATAAATAATTAACTGCAGGGGCATCACACTTTTTAAAAGATCATTGCCAGAGATACATTAAAGTCTGTTTCATGAAAAAATAGTCAAAACACCACATACGGTTTGAACCTTGGTTTGCAAAATTTTACGCTATGGACTCTGTTTTGTTTTTGTTACATATGTAATGCATGTACACTAGAAAATAATTCAAACAATTTAAATGTGTGAAATAAAAAGCAAATCACCACCACCCCACTCCTCCAAGCCAACACATCCCTTGGCCCAGCCAACCCACCTTCCTATGCCTCGCAGTACTTCCCTGGGGTCCTGAAAATACATACACATGAAAAGTACTATTTATGTTTTGTATAAAAACATCATTTAAAAACCATGACCAACTCTAAGTATTAAGATTGAACTAGTAACCAGAATTTGCTGGGTTACATGCTTATTTCTCTATCCTTCTATTAATGTTAATTATAGAAAATGGCATTAAATCTTGCAAAACTATGTGTAAATTAGACAATAATAAAAAGTAAAAGCAATCATGCTCATTTTACCCAGTACCTACTAAAGACACACTTTAATATGAAGAATCACTGAGAACTAAAAACAGCACATAACTGAGGTTTCACCTTTAAAAATTTTGCTTTGAATATTACCTGTCCCAGTCCATGCTGACTGACCATCAGTAAGTGTAATAAGAAAACCAGATCCTAATGTTCTCTCCCAAGTAATTTGTAGAAAATGAATTATATCAGGTTCAGAAGCAAAACAAATTCTGCTTACTTTCCTTTCCATTTCTGGTCACCTGTTACAAAAGAAATTAATATTTTTATAAGAAACTTTGGCTATAAAATACTAATTTTTTTTAATTTTCTTAATGTTTATTTTTGAGAGACAGACCTTGAGTGGGGGTTGGAGCAGACAGAGAGGGAGACACAGAATCTGAAGCAGGCTCCAGGCTTCGAATTGTCAGCACAGACCCCAACATGTGGCTCAACCTCATAAACCATAGCTCATTCCCTGAGCCAAAGTCAGAAGTTTCACTGACAGAGCCATCCAGGTGCCCCAAATAAGAATGTTTCCTATACTGGTCAATCAGCTACACAAAGCACCAAGGAAATCTTAAAACAAAACACTATATAATAGTTAACCAACCATCAAACAGTAAATCATAGTTCTACTCAATATTGATTTATAATTTTTACAGATAAACAAAACAGAGGTCTATAAGTGGCAAATGAGTTGCTCAAATTGTGTGCTGAAAAATTACTATACCCAGCAACATGAAAACTAAAGACTTTTCTTCCTAATCCCACTTTTATTTCTAATGATTAGAGGTTCTTTTTCTATGAATTCAAAAACCATTTTTCTGCTAATTAATCTAGAATCTTGCCCAAACTGACCTCAAACTTACCAAGCTGTGGTATGACACATAATTTGATTCAAATCAAATAACTACATTTGTTCTAATACTGGACTATCCTTTGACTATGTGTGTGCTTTATTAGGGGATGATTAAGAGGTGCCTGGGTGGCTCAGTCAGTTAAGCATCTGACTTCAGTTCAGGTCATGATCTTACAGTTAGTGAGTTCGAGCCCCACTTTGGGCTCTGTGCTGACAGCTCAGAATCCAGGGCCTGCTTCAGATTCTGTGTCTCCCTCTTCCCCTCCCGAACTCACACTCTCTCATTCTCTCAAGAATAAACATTTAAAGAAAAGAGAGATGCTTAAGCTGTAAAAACCAACATCCAAAACAAAAAATACCCTAAAAATTACAAATACACATAGAAAAAAACATTACAAAAAGAAAAACATTACAAAAGTAAAAATGAGGAACAAAGCACAAATTTTCAAAGATGAAAAACTAGAGAGAATTTTTCTTTAATCACAAAATAGGAATCTCTTGCTAGATGATCCTTAATAAGCTAAAAAGAATTCTTTAATCTTTTATTTGGGCAGGAGAGTACAAAATTTCTTCCATTTTTATGATCAATATGCATAATATGCTGTAAAAATCCAAAGTAAATTACTAACTGGCAATTCATTGGCAATTGATTAGTAAGTTTTAACAAGAGCAAAATCTTAAATCAGTTTTAATTCACTTTCTCAATTTAAAACTTTTATATTCTCATAAAGCATATTATTTTTCTCAATTAGCAATTGAATATGAAAATAAAAACAACTGAATATGAAAAACTCCCTTTGTCAGCTCTTCACACAGCTGAATATGAAAATAAAAACAACTCACTTTGTCAGCTCTTCATAAAATAATACTAATTTTACTACAAATCTCTATCATCTGGGAGTAGGCGGGCTGTTTAATTACAGATTGCTAGAGCTATTCTATCTTATAGTAAAGAGCACAAGGAAGTGGGGCAATTTGCAGAATAAAAGAAAAAGTATCTAAAATTAAGAATGTAAGATACCTAAATCGATAACAGTAACTTTAACTTCTATCTAAAGTACTCGGAAGACTGTTTATTATTCTTCTCGGTAAGAGACAAAGTTTAAAAAAAAACATACTTGTAGCCACATCAATTAAGCATGTTTATGTGTTAATAACATACAAATCTGTAGGTCTGACTATAACATAATTACTGAAAAATTATAATTCTTTTTAAGTATTTCATTTAGTCAAAAATTCTTCCTACAAAGAGGTTTTTGTTTTGTTTTGGTGTCTTGTTTTTTTAGGGTTTTTTGTTTGTTTGTTTGTTTGTTTTTGGCCTAGATGTGCTTACTTCTAAAATGTTTTATCCATTTGGGAATATTTTCTCTTAAATCAATTAGTCAAAACCACTTACCATGCAGCTAATTACTCACAGGCTCTGTAATCCTTAAATTTGAAAATTACTGGAAAATGCATATTACTGTTTTTCTATCCCATTCATTGAAAAAGACACATAGCTAAAAGACTTACATAATTCTAATAGGCCTCAAATCCACAACTTTGGCAGGGGGTGGGGGGTAATTGAAACTACTTATGAAGGTCACTTTTTGCCTCTAGAATTTAAATACAAACACACAGATACACAAACTGACACTGATTATTTCATCTTAAATATGTCTCAAGAACATGGCTATGGATAGCAATTAATGTAACATTGTGAAAAAGAAAACTGAGCACTTAGAATTGTTCTTAAACAGCAACTGGTTTCACTGCTATTTTACCCTATTTGAGACAAATGACAGATTACTAACTATTGACACAAAGTAGTTTAAAATTCATTATCTCAGATGCTTCATCCTACTTTCATGATGATATACAGGACTTTAATCTCAATAATGTTAAAAAGACATTTAGGGATCAGATTAGTTTAACATCTTTGAATTATTGCTGTTTCAAGTATTTTCCAATGTTGTGATCAATTCTAGGTTCTTATAGCTAAAATTAAATTACATTATTTTAAAGATTCCATTATTTTACTAAACTCAGATTTGAAACTTTGGATGTTACTTGTGTGTCATATTTAAGCACTTACATCTTAATAGTCCACCTCAGTATCCTGTAAATACTTTGTGCCTCAGTAGCCTCAGATATGTTCTATCAACTGAGTTTTAATTTCTTGATCATATACTATTTGAACCACTTTTGAAAGAATCCATTACTTTACTTACTGAGGTCATCCCCCCATTAAATATCAAATACAAAATATCTAAGAACCAACCACTAAAACAGAAGAAAGGATGATTTGCGATGTCTTTTAAGAAACCTAAGAGCAAACAATGATGTCTCTGCTTTCACCAGCCCTGTAAATGGGAATGCTCAGCCAGTTTTTCTGTCCCAAGAATACTTGAAGAAAAGGGTGGAATCCTTTCAGAGGGTCTGATTGATTAGGACCATAAGAAAGCCTATGGTTTGTTTTCTAAGGGCACTAAAGTCGCACTAGTATCAGCACCTCTCCCAGCCAGAGCCAAGGATCTAAGAGAAGCCTGCAGGTGGAAACAGTTGGGTCCCACCCCAATTTGTACATCAGTAGCTTTATTGAGAGCTCAGAACAGTTGAGAATTGAGAAGCTTATCTTTAGTACTTTGTGTCTTTGATACTTGGCTTCCTTCTTAGGAGAGAATTAAGTTGTTGGCTGGTATGCAGTTGATGTGATCTACACTCTGAACAAATACCATTCACAGTTGCCTCTGAATAAACAAGACACTTTTTAAATTAGTTTACAAAGAATTTTGTATGCCCTTTTGGATGCTGATAAGGAGCAGTGCAGAAGCCAAGTCTCTTAGGTCAGCTCAAGTTAGTGACAACACTGTATCATTGATAACACTATTTTGAACTTGAGCTTCTTTTATTTTCCTTTATAGTTAAATTACGACTTCTTTTCAAGCTGCTTGGGCTGCAGGTGTTCAAACTTCTGCAGCTATGCCAAGGAGTTGTACTTACAGAGCAGAAGGGACTAAATGCATGTTTCTAATGAAGCAATTAACTTAAGTGCCCCCTTGTTGAGAAAAGTAGGCTGATACCTAAAGTGAGTTTAGAGTAAAGATTAGCACATAGCACATTGCCACTAAGAGTCTGTAATTAGATTCCTGATATTATTTTGTTTAACCTTATTTTCTCTTAAGGAGGAAAAGAAAAAAAAACGTAAATTGTAAACCAAAACTACATGATAATTTTTTAAAAGTTTTATCATATTATAAAAATTCAAAGATAGAACCAAATATATTGCTCAGTAAAAAGGAAAGAAAGGTTTATGCGACAACCACTGGGCTATTTACTTTTAATAAGACAAACATCACACTGGATTCAGGAAAATAAATGCAAAGAAGATGACTATTTTCCCATTTGCTTATTTTTTTAAAGCACTGATTATTCATACTGATCTTACCAGAATTACCAAATGAAGATTTTTTTAATAATTTATTCCTCGAATTTTCATTATTTATTTCCTATCATTTTAATCAATAGCCTGCCATCACCTACCTGTCTAAAGGGTAAATTGAGTTGTTTTTTTTTTTTTTGAAAAATGACCACAAAATCAATTTACCTTTAAATTTCCAGAGCAATTAAACAAAAATATCAAGCTAACTTTCCACTGAAGAAATCTTTTTTCTTTTCTTTTTTTTTTTTTAATGTTTATTTATCCTTGAGAGAGTGAGAGAGACAGAGAATGAGCAGGGAAGGAGCAGAGGGAGAGAGGGACACCGAATCTGAAAGAAGCTCCAGGCTCTAAGCTGTCAGCACAGAGCCCGACGCGGGGCTCAAACCCATGAACCGTGAGATCATGACCTGAGTCGAAGTTGGACGCTCAACGACTGAGACACCCAGGCGCCCCAGAAGAAATCTTTTCTTGAAACAATGTCTTCACGTTCCAATTAACTAAAGTGTAAAGAACCTATAATATTATGAAATATTTTTCTAGTCATGTCAATATTACCCCATTCTATCAATTTAGAAATGAAAGTAAAGTGATCAGCTGTCCAGGTTTGTCTCAGATTTTCCTGGCTTTCACACGGAAAGTCCACGTCCCATAACCCACTAGCCCCAGGCAAATAAGGATAGATGGTCACCCAAAGTAGGAGTAAAATATAGTTAAGACTGTTGGCATCATCTTGTTCAAAAACTTGTAAAATACAGCTAAGTTCAACTTACACGTTAATAGTCTGATGCTTCAGATACAGCATTAGAACCATAAAATAAGCCTAACAATTAGGGCATCTTTGCCATGGTCATAGTCCATTCTCAATTACCTCTTATAACTGTGGAATGCCAGCTGCTGCCATTCCAAATATCATATTACTGCTCATTTCCTTTGCTTATCTTTCACAAGCACCATTAATAATCATTAGTTTCAGTGATTCA